AATAAACAGTGAAAAGTTGATAGAAATTTATGCAAAAACATACAAATGTAATTTTATTTATTTATTATGATTATTATTATTATTTATTTATTTATTATTAGTAGTAGTATTAATTTGCAGGGAAAAGGATAGAAACTGAATTTATTAATATTTTTATTGGACGTGTTATATATTTCATTAATGAAATTGGACCTTCTATAAAAAGTACTAGAGATACTATATATCATTGATACTTTGATGTTTTATTTGTTTATAAAAGAATTGTACATGTTTAAAATTAAAAAGCTTGAGATATTTTTAATTACCCTAATTCTTTTTTACCTTAATTTTTTCTTTTATTTTCTACCTTTTTTTCTAACATAAATAACAAAAAGATTGAATTTATTAATAACTTAAATTCAATCATTTTTTATGAAATTATAATTACCATAAATTGTGTTTAGTACAATTATTTTTAAGTATTAATAATTATGATAATATATATAATATTGTTACAATTAGTATTAGTAATCATTAATAATTTATATTTTTGCTTGAGGACAAGCAAGGTTCTAAGTTTGGGGGAGTCCATGATATTCAGTGAAATATTAAAAACTCAATTTTAATCATATATATGTTTAACAAACAACAACTAAGCTTTTCCTTAATAGATGGGTCAATTGAACGAATCAAACAATGTCAAAAATTACCCGTAATCTTACTTATTAGATTTCATATCTCACTTATCAGATTCTATTGTGTTTTTCACAATGAAATCTGACGAATTCGCCATAATATATCTAACCCATGTATAATATCATGAAAAATGGATACAAATTTTTTGTTGCTACTTAATATTGGCAATAGGTCTGAAAAAGTATTTAAAAAAATGAAATTTAGATATTTATATCCAGTTGAGGACTTGTAACATTCTTAGATAAATCATATCTAATTGTTTATAAACAAATCATTTATCTTTAAATTTTTCTTTAACTGTTTACAAATTTTAAAATAAATTTTTACAAATCCTTTTCACCAATGTCCAAACCACCCAAGGCAAGATTTTGTCATTTTTAATACTAATATGCTATCCTAATTTTCTCTCTAACATGTTCATTTCTAATTTTATGCTTATACAATATTAGGTATCATTATAATTTATAAATTTACACAAGTTTTATATATTTTTAAAGAAAGACAAATGAAACTAGTGTAAATTTATAATATTTAATACTTTAACTAAATTGCGTAAGGCACATCCACATGATTGCAACTGTCACAACTTATGTGGGAGAACAAAGTTCATTCCAAAAGACTATCCTAGTAGAAAGGAGCCTTACAACTTTGTAACACATTGATCATCCCTGTTATTCATTATGAAGTGCAATTTGTAAATTAAATATTTAAACTAAACAATCTAATAAGATCTAAAACTAAGATCAAGAATAAAAGTTTTTACAAAATATTCTCATTGTTAGGCTGACTAGTAAAAACTTCAGAAAGTGATGTGTTAACAAACTTCGAAAAAATTGTCAATAACAACAGTTATTTTGTGTGAATTAATATTCAGTCTCACTCCTGAATACATATTCCTGATTGTGTAATTAGGTAAGGCGTCTATTTGACCATATCATTCACTACAATGACTACAATTATAAGATATCTTCCATATAATCAAACACATATGACATATAATAAACTAGATACTTTAAGCCCAAACTTAATTAGAATTGGTTGGGTGTGCCAGCCTATGCTGCAGTGCAAGACATAGGCAACACTTGAGAGTCCCAGTAGCAAGCTACTGTACTGGACCCCCTCCCTAAAAAAAATAATTTAATATCGTGTGAACCATTGGCTCACATATCAGATATTACACTGATAAGAACAGATACTACACTTGATCTTAGCCAAAAGGCCGAGAAAGGTATGCTTTGGCCAGCAGAGTGTTGTGGCTTTTATTTCTGTTATATGTTCTGTTGTTTTATTGACGGACTAAGGTGGGACTCTGGTGTCAAATTTGTTATACCCTACTGTTTGCAAAAGTGACAATTTGAAATGTTAGTTCTATACTATCATCTTTCAAATGTTTTTTCTTTTATGTAAGATGTGAAAAGTGTAACCAAAGTCCAAACGTAGTTTCTATTATTGAATGTGTTAAGATCTACATTTGTAGATACATGAACTTCATATACTTCAGTCTGTATAAAAGTATAATTCTACAATGTGAGTGAGAGTAGTCAATTATGGAACTGCTACAAGCACCAAAGGATGCTAATATGCTACCTAAGAAGTTATAAAATATAAGATGATTAATGTAGAGACAACTCATTATAGTATGGATTTTGTTGCTGAGCCATATCCATACCCTATGTTCAGAGAGTTCCATGCATTGGTAAAGAAACCAGAAAACAAGCTTTGAAAAAAATGGATGCGTGTGTTAGTGACAAAAAAAAAAATGTTTAACTAACTAGTGGATTCAGTCTGGACAACAAGTATCGCGATATTAACTAATTGAGAAGATGGAGTTTTATATGAAATGTATATCTGTTGCAGGATGATGACAGACAGATAATTGAACTTCATTGTGCAGATTATCCCCATGATATTTTCTTATTAGTTTTCTTATGACTTTACAGATTCTTCTTAATCTGATTGTAATTATTTTTTCTAAAATATTCTCATTCATGTAGAGAAGAGAGTAAAATTTCACACCAATGTGGAAGAGAAAGTGAGTAAAATTTCATGAGATACAATTCACTCACTTGTTTTAATTATTAGTTCAAATATATTCCATTTTCAAGTGAATTTATTCGAAATACTATAGAAATTAGGTAATTAGCTCTACATAGATAGATTTATAGTATTTCCGCAAGATATACTGCATAACTCAAATCAACAGATGTTATGTTATTTGAACGTAGAAAACAACGATTATGTTTTATGAGATTAAGATTTTTTTATATTAGAAAGAGACTATTTATTTAAAATTTTATGCAAAATTATTTGAGAAACAAATACAAACTGTCAGAGAGAATGGCTGTTGCTACATCTGAGTTCAAGTTCCTGAATTAATGTTATCCAAAAACAATATTTTTATAAATCATGCTTAACTCAGGCCTGATCACTAATACAAAAAGTTTAGGTTGAACTGGTAGGGTGTGCAAGCCCATGCTATAGTGCAAGACATTGGCAACACATGAAAGCCCCAGTAGCAAGCTACTGTGATTGGACTCTCCCCTTAAAAAAATTAATTTAATATCGTGTGGGCCATTGGCCCACATATCAGATATTAAACTGATAAGAACTGATACTACACTTGATCTTAGCCAAAAGGCCGAGAAAGGTATGCTTTAAAGAGTATATCACTGTTGCTTTTATTTCTGATATTTGCTCTGTTACTTTGCTAACTGACTGATATGGGACTCTTAGGCTTAGGCAACAAACTTGTTCACGGTTTTAAATTTGTTATTTGCAAATTTGTAATTTCAAGTATTAATTGCTATTTGCAGCGTTTATGTGATGCACATATACCTGATTGGTCTGTATAAAGGATTCTATTGTTGTGAACAGCTTGGAGTCCAACCTAAACATAGCTTTTTCAAAGATTTAGGATACACTGAATGTTATAGAATCACTGGTGAACAAGCACAGAGGAGGGAATTACCTTAGTTAATTAATTGCTTTGTAGTAAAGAGTAAAGACCCGAGTACTGGTTTATATATGAACATGTTTAAAAAATATAATCACATTCATATTGACGAGGGTTGATGTCTATATTCAAATTCCTTATTAAAAAGATGAAAGATGAAAATAAATATTTCTAACAAAGGTGAGAATACAATAGAAAAAAATAAAAATAAGCGATGAGATTGAAAATATGTAATATATAAAACAAATGAAAGAAAAAGACAATTCTTAATGAATGTAGTATTAAATAATTTTTAAATTTTTTAAAGTTTTGTAAACTTGATTTATATATTAAAAATTCTTAATTTAATGATTAGATCGTTAGAATTTGATATAATATATGATTTATTGGGTAAAATAAATCTAAGTAAATAATGGGCTCCATGAGAGTACCCATTCCTGACCTGTCAGATGAAAATCAGTCTCATATCTGTATAGGTATCCATTAAGTTAATATTGGTAGATATTCATACATATTTGTAATTTCTTTAATCTTTTAAAAAAAATATTGCAAAAAAATAATTAAGTTTTTATATATTAATTTTATTGAAATATTAAAATATGCAAGATAAATATATAAACATTTAAATAATTTTACTTAGTAAATACTTGGGTGTATGAATACTACTATACTCATTCTCATCTTGTATATTAATGTGTAGAAAAATACTTGTACTTATTTCTTAAATATATCTATTTATATTATTGATTTGATGTCCATACCTATAAGCAAGCCAGCAAAATAGAGAGAGCAGTTAGTCCTGTAATGTGGCCTTCACTACCGGTGCAAACTCAGCCGGATTGGCATGCATCAACCATCAAAATTTTATTTTACTATACCTGTTTGCTACAGTTTCTTTTTATTAACAAATCAGTTTTAAAAAATATAATTATAGACAAACATAAATTAGTTTATGCTATTTTTAAATATGTATAAAAAAATCACAACATTATCTCTTACTAATTTCACACTTTTATTATAACAAAATAACAAAAGATTTATGAATTATTGATATTTGACATAAATAATTTAACAAAAATGATACATCCTCCCAAATAACTTCCGAAAAGCATTCCGAAAATTAAAATATTAATTTAAATTATAAAATATTAAATTAAATAATTATTTTATAATAAATTTATTAAAAAATATTAATAAAATATTATTTAGAGGATGATTCAGCTTCCATTTTTGGAGACTATAGCAGTGTTCATAATTTAAAGACCAATTAGAATTCAAAGTATCTTTTTGTTAAAGGAATAAGTTTTAAGAACCAATTAGAATGCAAATAAAGTTCAAAGCGTCTATTTATATCTATATTATAAACAAATCTATATTAGTGTGGACTATAATTAACGATATAAACTTTATTTTAATTCCAATTGTTATTTAATGTTTCCGTAAGTTTATTTGTTTTTTTTACACCTTATAAGTTAATTTGTTAAACTATAAACTAATTGAGGTGTTCTTATCAAACACAATCTAAATATTTTTAATTGCTTAAAAGCAAGTATTAAACAAATTTTGTTCTAAATATAATAAATACTTTTGATTATCTTTTTTTTTTTTGCTAACAAATGCTATAAGAACAATTAATCATTTACATTTGAAAAATGTAACTAATAAAAAAAAAAAGTTGTTGGAATTTAATTGGTAGAAAAATGTGTATTTTGAAGTAAAACCATGTTCCCTTGGCAGTGATACCTAAATAAGAATATGGAATTAAAATTTCTTTTAAAGATAAAAAAAAAAAAAAAAAAAAAAAAAAAAAAA